AGCACGGTGCTGGGGGCACAGAGGAGTGGCTGTGGGCACCGGGGCGCTGACACACGCCTCATGCTGGGGTTGGGTTCCCCGCTCAGGCCTGGGCCTCCTCACAGCCCGGGCAGGGCCTGAGGCCACGAGAGAGGTGGGGCTCTAGGGTCCCGGTTCCAAGAGGAAAGTGTATGATCTACTTTTGAGTATTTTTCACCCGGTGTTTTCAAAGACCTTTTCAACACTGAACTCAATTTTTTAAAAATAAGTTTGACCTTAATTTTTATATAAACATTTTTTTTTTCTCTACAGGACATCTGAATGGATATAAGATTACTCAAGAGAAGACTGTGTTTTAGGTGAGGTAGCTGGAAGCCAGGCAATCATTTTGGGAAGGGGAAGCAGACAGACATATGCCGTGGTGCAGGGGGGCTGAAATTTTGGCCCCTGCCCTGCTCCTCAAGCCACGGGTTGCGGGGTGGGGTGGCATCTGCCAGGAGGAAGGAGGGCCAAGTCAGGGCTGCATCCGAGTCCTCTGCCCGGGGGACCCTCTTCTAACTGCCGGCACTGGCCGGCACTGGCCGGGGAGGAGTGTGTGTCCGGCCACCTCCGTCTCTCTCTCCGCTCCACCCCGGCTCCTCCTCAGTGCGTGTGAAATGCGTTCAGTATGAAAATTTCAAACATACACAAATGTTGAGAACCGTGAACCCCGAGGTGTCAATTACTCAGTTAACGGTTAACAACCCAGGACGGTTCTCACGTCGCCCACGCCCACCCTCGTCGCTGTGTCTCCTGGAACGTGTCTGAGCCATCACGGTGCCCCTGTGCCCGCCCGTGCACGCTGTCATGCACATGGCTGCCCTTTGCTGCGCTCTTTCCCAAACCCACGCCGCGAGCTGCATTCACACCAGTGCAAAGCAACGCAACGCCCAGTCCCTGTGGGCATCTGCCCGGAGCGGGGCCCTGGGCTCAGGACCGGGCGCTGTCAGAGGCATCAGCATGGGGAGAAACTGTGTGTGATTTCTCTCTTTAGAAGAAAAAGGAGGCAGGCTCACGTAAGCAGCCCCTCACTGAGCCCCTCTCCTTCACTGAGGGCTTGATCCCAGGTGCTGGGCACACAGGACCTCACTCGCCCCTACTTGACTCCCTGTGTGCAGGACCAGCCCGGCCAGCCTGCGCCCTCGCCGCCTGCACGCCATCTCTGCTGGGAAACCGACCATCCCTCCCAACTCACAGAAAACAGGAGTGGGTTCCCCCTCAGCCCCGAGACCTCCTACTAACCTCTCAGAACCTCAGTTCCCTGGCCTTAAAAATGCCTTTTCCACAAGGTCAGCACGAGGATTGCAGGAAGCAGCCATGCCCACAGTGGTGCCCAGAGCTCAGTAAGTGCCCAGGCGATGTTGGTGGGCGTTCACCAGCCCCCTGCCTCCGCCCGGGAGGGAGCTTATTTACTTGCTAAGCTAACATTTACAAATATGCTCGTCCCTCTGTCTCTCTCAGGACCTGCACTGCCTGGGGATGGGAGAGCAGGTGACTACAGTTTCTGCTGCTGGAGCTGAAGCATCTGGGCGCCCCGGTGTCCGGGTGAGACAGCGCCCACACGCCCGGAGACCCGCTGGAGGGGCCTCGGAACAGAGGCTGCTCTCCTAGCGTTTGTCACACTGCAGACACAGACCCGTGAGTGGGCAATGCAATCCACTTGGGAAGTCACCACCAGAATTGCCTTTTAAATGAAATGGAATAGAAGGGGACAGAGCCCACCCTAGGAGGTAAGGGTAAGTTTCAATTCATGAAACCTGTTTCAGGTGTGTGTGTGTGTGCGCGCGCGCACGCATGTGCCAGGCTGTCATAGAAAATGAATTCTTTATTGCAGATTCTGGTTAAAGAAAAAAAGTTTGGAAAATGCTGCTTTAAAAACTGGCAGAAAGACACTGTGGGAAGAGCATGGCATTCCAAGGAGGACTGAGGTTCCGGTCCTGGCTCAGACACTCATTGTGTGACCTTGGGGAAGTTACTTGGCCTCTCTGACCTCCAGTTTCCTCATCTGAAAAGTGGGGTGAAGTGAGGTAATGTGTGCCCAGTGCCTGGCATGATCAATGCAGGTGATCTTAACCTTTTTTTTTTTTTAAGTCTCAGACCTGATAGGAATCTGATAAAAGACCCTCAGCCCAGAAAGCGGCTCTGCGCACAAAACATCACCAGCAATCCCGGGGTTCCATCTAAGCCTGTCTGCGGGGGGCTTGGTTGGGGTGCAGCGAGAGAGGGATGCAGGGGTGCTGGTGCAGGAATGGTGAACAGTGGGTGCGGTCCCATGCCCACCCCACCCCACGCTGCTTCTCGCTCCCCAAGAGCACTCACACAGTGGAGCTGCGGTGACTCCGAAGGGGCAGACCCTGCTCAGCCCTCACCAGCCGCTGGTAGGAGATTCCTGTGGCCAAAGAAAAAGAACAGATTCACGCGGTTACCTGGTCCTTCGGCGCTCATGGCCTGCGCCTCACAGTGGCCGCACCGGACAGTTAGGACAGGAGTTCCTGGATGGGGTTCAGGCCCAGGGGCAGGTCACGCCTGACGCCTACGGGGCCTCTGACAGGATGAGCCCAGGCCCCACCTGGCTCCAGCCACCTGTCAAGCTTTGCTCCTCAGAGGCAGCGGGCAGCGCACCCAGAGAGGAGAACCGAGGCCGGTCTCCCGCTGTCCAGCAGTCCTGGCTCCTGTCACACTGCCCTCTCGCAGTCCCGGTGTCCGGCAGTGGGCACGCCGGGCACCCCTCGGGCCATCCCCTCAGCCTCAGCCCCTCCCACACTCTCTCCTTCCCCCAGCATCTTGGCCCGGCCTCCACAACTTTTCAGGGGCCACAGACCCCTGATGGGCCTTTACGGGGTCCCTGTCTCCCTGTCAGGGGCAGGGCCAGCCCGGGCCGGTGGGAGTGGGGAGCAGGAAGGCGATCCACTCGGGAAGCGTTGCAGAAAGCCGGAAGGAAGGCCCTGATGCTTGTTAGCACATGGAAGAAAATGGCCAATGTATGCATTCTGACTTAGCACCTAGTTGCTTTGATCTGGGCCTTCTGCTTAGTGTTTCTTTTGTGTAAGTGTCACATGTTTGGACGTGACTGTTGTGTCTGTTTTGATAGGAGAGTCCCCGGACAGTGGCTGTTCCTATCAGGACTGGGAACGCTGTCTGGCAGCTCTCACATACGTACTCCTGTACTCCCTTACTCAAACGCTGGAGCGGATGAGGGTGCCCACTCTGCAGGGGTTCCCCACGAGGAGCACACAGACAAGCCGCCTCCTCTCGACTCGTCTGCTCTTTTGTTTTACCATGGGACGTCTTAACGGTAACCCACACCCCACGGACCCGTTGCCTCGCCTCCCACTCTGCCTCGATGGGCACAGGCCACGCAGCCTACCACTCTCCTGGGGAGGGGAGCAGCCGGCAAGATCACTCCCCTCCATCAGGCTTCCTTCCAGATGCCGGCCATTGGCTTCCAATCCCATTGCCCTCCTGGACCGCCCTCCTGGACCGCCCTCCCGAGCTGCCCTCCTGGACCGCCCTCCTGAGCTGCCCTCCTGGACCGCCCTCCCGAGCTGCCCTCCTGGACCGCCCTCCTGAGCTGCCCTCCTGGACTGCCCTCCTGGACTGTCCTCCTGGACTGTCCTCCTGGACCGCCCTCCTGGACCGCCCTCCTGAGCTGCCCTCCTAGACTGCCCTCCTGAGTTGCCCTCCTGAACTGCCCTCCTGAAGTCACAACACCCTAGGCCTCAACCTTATCATTTTCCTTGAATTGCTTTTTTTTTGCGTCTTTGATACTGTTGACCACTTTCTCCTTGGAGTTTGCTCTGCTCCATTAGTCTCCATGACAAGGACCATTCAGTCACATCTTGTATTTCTCTCTCTGTTTATCTTAGGACTAGAGGCCCAGTGCCTGAAATTCGTACACGGGTAGGATTCCTAGGCCTGGCCACCAATCAGGGCCAATCGGGCCTTCCTTCCCCCAGCTGCTGGCTGCCTGCTGGGGCCTTCCTTCATTCCCCACTGTCCCCTGGTGGTCAGTGCACGTCATAGCAAGCAGTCAAACTCCAGGTCGGTCAAACTCTCAAGGGACAATTTGCATATTAGGCTTTTATTATATAGGATAATACCTGAATAGTCTCATTTGGGGATCGCAGTGCAGGTAGAGCTGAGAGCTGCCTCATATCAGCTAGGCAGACACCATAAAACCTTGCCCTGTGCCTGATTTTGCTGTTGGGGGACTTTTAGGAGGACGTCTGTGCCCCTGGGCACACCCTGGCCCAGAGGGAGTCATTTCCAGAGCTGGATATCCTGGATGCCAACAGTCCCCAAGTGAAGCGCGGAGCATCAGATGAGACTCCCCCACCCCCAACGAAGACGTTGAAACAAAAAATCGGGTGGACGGCAATCCAGGGGTCAGAGTGAAAACAGCACAGACCCTCTCCTACTCGTGGTCCCATGAACATTCTAGGCTTCTCCCATCTTTCTGCTCCTCCATCCCTGGTAGGAGACCTCGTCCTCAAGGTCATTTCATTGTCTAAGACGGCTGTTGGAGTGCCGGCCATCAAGTCCTCATTCCAGTTAACAGGAGGAAGTGAGGGGGAGGGGTGTCAAAAGTATAAGCCACTGTTATTTCAGACTTTCTTTTATAGGCAGCCAGCTCAACTAATCACACCCTGTGATTTCTGGAACATCTGCCTTCCACTCCTTCCCTGAGTCTTCCCCTATAGTATCATGATATAATGAGGAATATATATTTGCATTTATTATATGTACATGTTCATCCCCAGTTCCTGGGACAGAGCTCCTAAAATCCTTGTCATGTCCTGAGTGATGGGGTGACAGGAGCATCTATAACAGTGGTTCTCAACCTTCCTAATGCCGCGACCCTTTAATACAGTTCCTTATCGTGTGGTGACCCCCAACCATAAAATTATTTTCGTTGCTACTACATAACTGTAATTTTGCTACTGTTATGAATCGTAATGTAAATATCTGATATGCAGGATATATTTTCATTGTTACAAATTGAACATAATTAAAGCATAGTGATTAATCACAAAACAATATGTAATTATATATTCAATATGTGTTTTCCGATGGTTGTAGGCGACCCCTGTGAAAGGGTCATTTGACCCCCAAAGGGGTCGCGACCCACAGGTTGAGAACCGCTGATCTATAACAAGCCCCTTTTGACTGGACCTGAGTTTATGCTAATGAGGTGACTCTGGGTGGGTCCCTAGATAGCTTCCAGAAGGGGGCTGGCTGCCCTCTGGAGCCAGCCCTGTGAGTGATTCAAGGGCTGGAATGTTGTGACCTCCCCCAGCAACCTTCAGCGGGGGAAGGGGCTGGAGATTGAGGTAATCACCAATAGCCAAGATTGAGTCAATCATGCCTACTTAGTAGGACCTCCATGAAACCCCTAAACAATGGGGTTCAGAAAGCTCCCAGGGTGGTGCCAGGAGGGCAGTGCACCCCAACTCCACAGAGATAGGAGCTCCTACACTCAGGACCCCTCCAGACCTCGACCTCTGTACCCCTTCACCCGGCTGTTCCTCTGTGTCCTTCATAGTATCCTTTCCAATAAACCAGTGAACGTAAGTAAAACGCTCTCCTACTTCTAGGAGCTGTTTTAGCAAATTACTGCACTTGAGGAGGGAGCGCTGGGAAGCCCTGATTTGTAGCTGATTGGTCAAATGTAAGGGAGACCTGGGCTATGGTCAGCACCTGAAGTGGGGGCCAGTCTTGCGGGACTGAGCCCTCCACCGCGGGTTCTGTGCTGACTCCAGGTGGTGAGGGTCCGAACTGGATTGAATCTGTGGACACCCAGCTGGTGTCTGGGGAGCTGGAGAACGGGCGTGTGGGGGAAAGACTCCCATGTATCTGGGGTCGGAGTAAAAACAGCACAGACCAGACCCTCTCCTACTAGTCCATGTTGGTTGACTTTCCTTTAAGAGACCTAAACCTTTCATTCCATAATCTGAGACAAAAAGTAGAAGATGCAAATGTTTATGATCAGTAATGTCCCAAGAGAAACGTACAGTGGGGCCTTGACTTACGAGACCGAGCGCGTTAAGGAGCTCGTTAACTCAAATTACTCTATCAATTCAATGCAAAAAAAATGGCTGAGAGACAGCTGGTATCTCAAAAAACTCGTAGTCGGGACACTCGTAAGTCAAGGCCCCACTGTATTGCCACTGAAGAATATTCACAATTCACCTGCCACCTGTCGACAGGCAGAACTGACCTCATCAGGTTTTTTCCTGATGGCAGGAGGCCCAGGGTGGGAGGGCACTAGGCGATAGGAAAGGGACAGGAGAAACTGCCCAAGGGCAGAAGGTGCTTGGGAGCCAGCAGGGCCCGGGACCTGTCAGTCATGCAGTCCCCTGCCTGGGTCTTTTGAAAGAAACAGCATTTTGCAATGTGAGAAGGTAGTTTTTGACTCGAACAGACATGGGTTCAAGTGGTAGAGCTCTTGTTAGCTATGTGACCACGGAAAAGCTCCTTAATTGTCTGGCCCTCAAGTTTCATTATCTGAAAAATGGAAATACTAGTGACTAACCAGGGGGCTGCCGGAGGATGGATGGGACCGATTCTTAGCAATGTTGAATGCAGCGTAAGCACAGGTAATGCAGCCATTGCCACCACCACCACCACCACCACCCCATCAACCACAATTTCAGTCCTGCTTTGATGAGGAAAGCTTATGTAACCTGTCCCCAGGTCACCAACTAATAAGTGACAAAGCAGACGTCTTTGTCATACCAAGGCCCGTGTTTCTCCTCTCACACCTGGCTTTAGAGCTTGGGCAAGAAACAAACTTCTCCCAGTCTTGGTTGTGCCATGCACACAATGGGAGTAATATTGCTTTTCCCTCTTACGTCACGGGGCCATGGCCGTGGTCTGGGTGAGGTGCAGGCATTGATGCCCACTGTCACCCCTCAGGATTACAGATAAATTCTTTGCAGGCAAGTATTTTGCTGAGCGCAGCCATGTGGTCACAGCATAAATATTTGACAAACATGTGGGCTTAACCCCAGAGGGTTGTGGTGGGCAGGACCTGGTAGCACTGATGTGAGGTTTCCTGCCAGCCCCAGAGCGGAGCCAGTAGGCACCCTATTGGGGGTGGAGTCAGGAAGAAGGGGGAGGCCCGGGGCTTCATAACCTGCCCACTTCCTCTGCTACCTAGCCACATCAAAGTGGAGTAAACTGTTTCATTCATCTCCATGGCAACTCGCTCCCTAAGGCTCCCTGGGTGGAGGGCCCAGCTCTTCAGGCCCCTGGTCATCTTCTTCCTGTGACCTTGCCAGGACCTCTCTCTTAAGCCAACACACCCCAAACCCTACTGCCCAAGCAACGTGAAATCAACGTCGGTCAGCGGTCAGCATTTAGCCTCGAAAACTGCTCTGAGAGGGAGGGATCCTCCTCCCATTTTACAGATGAGGAAACTGAGGCTCCCATAAGTAAAATGTCTTTCCACTGGCCCCGCAGCTCCAGGACTTGAAACCACTGAGGGCTGATACCTGGTACTGGTAACCGCCAAGTGACTGAGCCTCAGCTTCTCCTCCCAGAGCCCATTCCGGCCTCCATTCCAGCCCCTCCCTGGTTCCTCCCATTGCCTCTCTCGGCTGGGCTCACTAGGGGTGGGGCACTCAGCCACATGCCTCTACAAAACCACACTGAAGCATTTTCTAACAAGCCCACCTCAGGCTCCTGCAGATGAGGGTCAATTTTGTTCAACTTACTATTTGCTGTTGATGAGGGCTCAGGTTCTGTGAAATCAGAGGTTAACGTGGGATGTGAGATGAGTGTTTTGTTCCGGACAAAAGATGCCCTCAAAGGTTACAGTTTTATTCTCCTAGATGACATTAACTAATTTGGTATCTAGTTGTGCAACCTTATTCTAGCTTGCATGAGAAACCCGTATCAGTTTCTCGCACCCTCCTCTACACCAGCTCTGTCGTGTCGCTGGTTCCCTCGGAGACGGGGTGAACACATCTGGGGCACGGGCTCGCTGTGCATTTGTATGAGAGCTTGGTTTTTGTTTGAAGACATGAGAAGGAGATGGTTTCCTGTTTCAGTTCTGCTTTCCCTGGAAGAGAAGTTCCTAGCACGGGCAGCCTGGCCCGAGTCCCTCTCCACACATCTGCCTTCTGGGTCACCGGCATCTCTGAGGCCTCACGTGGTCCCTGGACACTGCCCCTCAGCAGGGAGGGGCAAGAGCACCACGGGTCCTCCCTGCTCTGGGTCCAGCTCCAGCTGCTGCTCTGCCTGGCGCTTGTCCCCCAGGCTCAGAACCCCATGTCCCAGCATCTGGGCCTCGCCACAGCCCGCCCCTCTGCTCCCCATCTGCTCGCTGGGCTGCCCAGAACAGTTCCTGCTCAGCTGCCCGCAAAAACACTTCCAGGCATCGCGTGCGTTCAGCGGAGCAGGGCCAGCTGGCTCCACTCGAAATCGGGAAGCCGTCGCCCCACTTGCAGGTGACGGCCCTCCTCCAACCCAACATCGCCCTCGGCCATGTCAAAGAAAGAAAGGGTTGTTTAAATCTTTGGTATAGACGCGTGGTCGGCAAACTGCGCGCGCGAGACACATGCTGCTCCTTGGCCCCTTGAGTGTGGCTCCTCCTAAGCCTTAGGAGTGCCCTAATTAAGTTAATGACAATGTACCTACCTATATAGTTTAAGTTTAAAAAATTTGGCTCTCAAAGGAAATTTCAATCGTTATACTGTTGATATTTGGCTCTGTTGACTGCTGAGTTTGCCGACCACTGGTATAGACAGAAGGTCCTGCCAAGGCATGTGCACTGAAATCCTTTCCGTCTAAATCATAAGCAGGAATAAAACTTTCCATTCTTGTTAAAGGCATTCTGGTCCCCAGCAGCAAGCCCAGAAGTGATCTGGTCCTACTTACTTTGGGGACAGTGGGAAGGACGGGCATGAAAGAGATTAACCTTACACTGGTCTGTTCATTTAGGGTGCCTTGGGGAGTTAGGTTGGCAGTTTCTCGATTCATCATGTGCCCCAGCACCTCCTAGTTCAACACCTTCTCCTCAGGGTCTTCCTGATTTCTTCATTCTTCCACCACGTCTCTCCCATAAAGTGAGGTTCATGCAATAGGCAGACTTGGGTGATGGCCAACCTCAGCCTGTGCCTGCTCTGCTCTGTAACAACACACAGCTGATTGGCTGGGGGCAGATAGATCAGATAGATGATTGGTTGGGGGCAGATAGATCAGAGAGATGATTGGCTGGGAACAGATAGATCAGATAGATGATTGGCTGGGGAAGGAAGTCATGAATCCCTCAAAGAAACCTACAGACAGAGCTTCAGTCCTGAGCTTTCTAGGGTTCGTGAACTGTTGGGGAATAAGATTTGGTCCCTCTGTTCTATGTGTATAATGTGTACAGTGAGAATGAAACCCTGTCCGTACTACATAGGGCTTGGTGTGGAGAGATTTAAAAGAAAAGATGGGATTACAACATACATGGTATTTTGGGGCCTGGTTTTTTAAAAATTCAAGTTACCCAACATCTTCTGATCTCAGTAATTACATTCCTATATCATTTCTAATGATGGCATTCCACCAAATGACTTTGCTACACTATACTCAGCCATGTCCAATATTTAGGTTTTTTGGAATTGGTTGATTACTAGAAAGAATTCATCGATGAACATCCTTGTAGGAAAATCTTTGCATAGCCATAATTGCTCAAATTCCTAGGAATGGAATTGCTGGGTGAAAGGATATTCTTTTTAATGTTTTAGAGAACACAGCTCCCCTTTTCCTGACCAATACTGGCTTTTTTTTGTTTTTAAATCTTTGCCAATTTGTTAGGGGAAAACGGTGTCTCACTGTTAAGTTTTGCATTTTCTTTATTACTAATGAGGGTGAATATCTTGAGAGTTGTTCCTCAGATGGTTTTAGGTTTTTTTTTGATGTGCTTAAAGCATGCTTTGTCACAGTTTCATTGGTGGGTTGGCCTATTTTTAATTGACTCAAAAGAACTCTTCATGGATTTGAATACTATTTTTATTGAAAATATTTTTCTTAGCTCGTCATTTACCTTTCACTTATAGTGGGTTGTGCCAAATAAAGAGCTTTAAATTTTATGCTCTCAAATCTGTTGGCCTTTTATAATTTTTGTCTTGCAGGGACAATCCTTCTCCATTCTAAGCTCAGGTGACCTATTTTTCTTCTATGACTTTTATGGTCTTGCTTCTACACTTAAGCTTTTAATCCAACTGTAAGTTATTTTTATAAAACTCAATTTTGTTTTTTGGAGATAAAATTCTAACTCATTTTTTTATGGTCTCTCCATTATCCTGATATCATTCATTAAATGACCAATTTTTTTTCAGGACCCATTTGAGGATGCCACTTTGTTATATAACAATTTTTTACTATTTCATTTGTTCCTAGCTATTCTATTTTGCTCCATTATTCATGTATTCTTTTCCCAATAGTGTATGATTTTCATAACTCATATAGCCTTAGGGTACCTTCAAAGACCTAGTAAGGAACTATCCATCCTTACTCTTCTTTAAGAATACATAAATATATATCAAACGCATGGGTAAATGCTATTGTAGGGCACTGATAGACTTTCTCTATTTTGTTAAATTGTAAAAGATGTTGATGTATTTTGATCAGGGTAACACCTGATATTATTGTGATATTGACTCAATCTAGCAACATGTGTTTTAAATTATTTATCCTTTGGTTAAATTTGTTTCTTCTATGTAGGTTAGTTGCATTTATTTTATATTTGTAGTCGCTATTGCAAATTGTTGTGGGTTTTTTTTTCATGTCTTCTAACTGGTTAATGCCATTATATGGCAAAGCTCTTAGCTCCCTGTTTACCAGTCTGACAGTCCTTCAGGTGATCCTCTTAGTCTTGATAAATAAGCAATTGTTTGATTTCTACCTATTAAAATGTTATCTTCTCTGGAAAAGGAAATATCTTTATTTTTTTGCATAGGCAAAATCATTGTAAGCATGAAGAGAAAGATTATTGACTAAATGGAAATGCCTCTAGAACACTTCCGTATATTAGAAGTTTTCATATATTAGAGGGGTTTTAAATATTAGGAACGGATATTGAATTTTATCCATTCAGTAACAACTGACTTCATTCCTTTGAGCCTCTGATGGGACGAGTTGCTCTAATATCAGAGTACCTCTCAGGGCATCATACTTGATTATGATTTCTCTTGCTCTGCAATAGTTTGCTTCTACCTCATTTGCATGTGTATCATAGCACCTGCAATTTCTCAAGAATTCCTACTTTTCAGACTCTACATATGAAGACTTAGTACCAGGCCCCTGCCCGCACTTGTCATGGCGCCCATTAACTGTCTATTCCCAACACCAGCCACCCTCCGTGGCCAGACTGAACCTGTCCACACACACAGTTCCCCACGTGCTCCTGAGGCAAAGAGAACACGTGAGGGCCTCGTGTCAACACGGGCTTCGCTGTCGGACCTGGGCAGCCTCAGAGACCACCTGCATGACCAGAGCAGAGGCACAGGCCGCATGGTGTGGTCTCCTTGCCCTGAACGCCTGCTCAGCCTCCCCTGAGAAGTCCTCTGTTTTCCCCCCTTTTTATCCTTTCCCGAGGACATTTTCTGATTTTCAAAGAGAGGGGAAGAGACAGAGACAGATAAAGGGAAACATCGATCAGTTGCCTCCCACAGGCTGGGTCGGGATCAGGGATCAAACCCATTACTCAGGTATGTGCCGTGACCGGGAATCGAACCCATAGCCTTTCAGTGTAACTGGACGAAATTCCTACCAATTGAGCAACACCGGGCAGGTCAAGAATTCCCCCTTGAGTTACTGCCTACGTTCACTGCTTTCAGCCATCTGATGCTGGTGCGCACATGGTACACACCGCACCATAAAGAGGAGACTCCAAGGTTTTGAATCGGGGCCATGGGCAGAGACGAGCTGAAGGTTGAGAGGTGAGGAGGATCACAGCCCAAGAGCAGTTCCAGAAGAACCTCCTGCCTGCATGATCCCTGCTCCCGGCACAAGCTGCCTCAGCACTGACCTGGGGCCTTGAGCTCAGCGTCGATGAAGGTGAGCAGCTCCTGGCTGATGTTGCAGTACGGAATGGGCCAGGTCAGGAATCGGTGGTAGGTGCCGGCTGCTTTCAGAAGAAGGTCTGAGTCCGGCGGGAAGTGTGGTGTCTGCAATGCAGAGGGAGTGGTAAGCAGAGAAGTCTGGGTGGGAGAAAGTGCACTGATATTCCAGAGCAGAACCTGCTACTTTTCTGGAATGTTCCACAAAGGGCACACATTTCCCGGCAGCCGCACGTCCAAGAACAAGGTCAGGAAGGACTGGAAGTAACCCACAGGCAGTGAGTTACAGATAGGCAAGAGGGTGCCAGGGATGTCTCTACCGTAAGGGCCTTGGTTTTATTAAACATAACACAGTTCACACAGTTCAGGAGAGCAGCGCTCTGAAAAGCTGGAGTCATCTTAAATGGGGCTGCTGCTGCCTCTCAAATGTCTAAACCAGTGGTCGGCAAGCTGCGGCTCACGAGCCACATGCGGCTCTTTGGCCCCTTGA